CTATAAATACGAAAAAGCCCATAAACCCCTGTAACCCTATTCAGGTCGGGCCGGATTTTGAAAAATAGATCCGAATATTTTTCGGACCGGGCCAAGCCGAATTTATATATAGACGGACTTTACGGATTTCAGGCCGGGCCGGGCCGGGCTAGCCCGTTTGACATGCCTACCATGCCTCAAGTTTTTTCTCCGCTGCTTGACCACTTACACATAGGCTACATACTTGTTCAAATTAGATTGACTTCTTGATAAAACCTAAGAAAGATTAATATAGTTTATTTTATTTTGTATATTAAAGTTCACAAGTAAATTTTTGTGTCGAATGTTAGTTTTGCAATAATTTGTGTGTAGATGTTTGTTTTACAATTTTTTTTTTTTACTTTTTGAGAGAAAATCTTTCTATCGAAAATCGTAAAGTACAACAAAGTATACTAACAAAAAAAAGAACAAAAACATTGCATATGATTTAATTCGAATTACTAGTCCACCAATACTTGGTTAAGTTAACTTACTCTATAGTTGCCAATAATTTTAGCAAAATCAACGTTTTTTTACTCTATATAAATCTAGTAGTCTATAAATCTGAAAGCCTTCCAAATGGCAATATATAAAATTTATTGTTGTTCATCCGTGATTTGTGAGATTATATTCAAAGGTGATTGACGAAGGTAGAGGGTAAATTGTGCAAAAGTGTAAACGAAGGTAGAGGGTGAAAAAAAAAGTTAGAGGGTAAATTTATATACTCAATAGGTAATAAAAATGTGCAACAATTTATGTGTCCAGTAAATTCTACAACAATTTCTGTGCAGGTGTATTATTTTTCCAATTTATTTTTATCTTGAGTGCTATTTAGAGCAAATTCCTGGATCTAAAAACCGAAAAAGTGCAAAAAACGAAAAAGGAAAAAAATCAGAAAAAGAAAGTACAAGATGCGAGAATTTAAAAACAAACAGTGATGATAACAACAAAGAAAAAAGCAACGGTCAGGATTTAGAAATCACCGTACGATCGAACGGATTTGGATAAAACTAGGTCAGAGGAAAAAAACCTAGCACCAAGCCCACATAAACCCGACCCGTATTTGTGTTTGCAGTTCCACTGAAAGCGGATAAAACCCCTAATTTCAGACCTAAACTTTGCCATTAATAGAACTCATTCCTCTCTCTCTCTCAACTTCTCTTGGTGAGTCCCAGTTTAACCACTGTGCGATTTAATGGCGGACGTTAAAGCTCAATCGGAATCGGAATTGGAATCGCTGGTTGGCAATCAGCCGCATCAGCCTCCGGTTGATGTGGTGGAGGAAGAAGAGCGGAAAGTATCACCGGCGCCGCCGCCGCAGCAACATCCACAGTGGATGAGATATCCTCCGGCCGTTGTAATGCCACATCAGATGATGTACGCTCCGCCTCCTTATTCTCCTTATCTTCATCATCAATATCATAACAACAACCATCGTGGTGGTGGTAACAACAACAAGCACCAGAACGCATCTAACGGTGAGAACAAAACCATTTGGATTGGTGATTTGCATCATTGGATGGATGAAAATTATCTTAATTCCTCATTCGCTTCCGTCGGCGAGGTCTGCTTCTCTCTCTCTCTATATATATATATACATCTCTTGATTTGTGTGTAGGCTTTGGATAATTGTTACGTTAATATCAGAAAATTTGTGTTTTTTTTTCCATATATGTTTGATATTATGATGACTTCATTGATTTACTCATGAATTAGTGTTATAGATGTGCATTAACTGTTTCTTGCTTCAGTTTTCGATTACTTATTAATGTTTTGACGTTCTTCGAAAAGGTTTTTTTTTTTTTAACTTTTTACTAATCACTCATCTTGATGGGAAAGTTGTGGTTAATTTTGGTTTCTTGACGATGGAACATGAGCTTGTTTGCTAAAAATGGTAGCTTTTTAAGTATTAACGATACTCGACTCGACTATGAATTTAACTATTTCGCTATTTCGCGTTGTTTTTATGTGTGTTTGATCTAAATATGTGTGTGTACCTATGTTTATACAGATTGCTTCCGTCAAGGTTATTCGCAATAAGCACACTGGTTTGTCTGAAGGCTATGGATTTGTGGAATTTGGTTCGCATGATATCGCTGATAAGGTTTTGCAGGAGTTTAATGGAGCAACTATGCGGAATACAGAGCAACCTTTCCGTTTAAACTGGGCCAGTTTTAGCACCGGTGAAAAGCGGTTAGAGAACAATGGTCCTGATCTCTCTATTTTTGTGGGGGATTTGGCGCCAGACGTCTCTGATACTCTGTTGCACACCACCTTCTCGGAGAAATACCCATCTGTTAAAGCTGCAAAAGTTGTCATAGATGCCAACACTGGCAGATCTAAGGGCTATGGCTTCGTGAGGTTTGGAGATGATGAGGAGCGGACCAAAGCAATGACGGAGATGCACGGTGTGAAATGTTCAAGCAGAGCTATGCGAATTGGTCCTGCAACACCTAGGAAGACTACCGGTTATCAACAACAAGGTATTCTTTCCAATGTAGTATCTTTGCTTACAATCTATTTAGCACTAGATTGTTCGTGTTTGGTTTTGTGTTTACTTGTTATAACACGGTGTTTTTGTCAAGTATTTAAACAAAATTTCTTACTTACTGGTATAAGTTTCTCTAACACAAATGGAAGGATAAATATTTTGAAAATGTTTGCTGAAAAGATTGAAAATATTTTATTTCTTAAATATGTCGTATTTGTATTTAAAGCTGTATTAAAATTTAAATGCATATGCTCGTTGTGTAGTTTTAGTTTTTGGTAAAGTTCTGAGCAAATTTTCTGTCGTCTTAGAATAACGAAACCTTTACTACCAAACCCACATCAGTGAATGAAGTCAGAATTATTTTCTCTAACGATAATCGTTTCTTCTACCTATTCATCGCAAATTTGCACATATTTTCAGCAATCGACCCATAAATTCTTGAAAGAATTAAAGCTAGCTTATGAGAACGTCCATGTGTTCAAGTTTCTTTTGTACTTAACTATCTGTTGGGGTTTTGGCAGGAGGATACATGCCAAATGGTGCCTTGGCACGTCCTGAAGGGGATTCGTTAAACACAACCGTAAATTATTTCTTCGTATCTCCTTGTTTTCTCTCTCTCCCACGTGGTTATGACTGAAGATGATGAATCTTCTATTTTTCCTTGAATCCATGTTTATAACATAGATATTTGTTGGAGGACTTGACTCCAGTGTCTCTGATGAAGATCTAAGACAACCTTTTGCTGAATGTGGAGAAATAGTTTCAGTCAAGATTCCTGTTGGTAAAGGATGTGGATTTGTTCAATTTGTTAACAGGTAATATTTAAGCCTTTAGTTAACTTAGTAACCATGAATTATGTAATTCTATTATCCTTATTCTTTCATTGTAATTGATTTGAGATTCAACAATTGGTTGCAGACCGGATGCAGAGGAGGCTCTGGAGAAACTAAATGGGACTGTAATTGGAAAACAAACAGTTCGCCTTTCTTGGGGCCGTAATCCTGGCAATAAGCAGGTAAATACCGTTATCTCCCTGCATATGTGTTTGATTCTGTACAAATGCATGAAAATGCACAGTTCAGTACAGTTGTTCTTCATCAGACCATAGAACAAACCCAAATTGTTCTTGTTTTGAAACACATGTGAACCGTGTCTGAGATAACTGAGCTCTGATTAAACCATCTTAGTTGCACAAGGAGCATTCAGCAGTTTTTTCGATTTGAATTTTTTTTGTTCGGTTAGCTATTGGATAAAAAACGTTTATATATAAACAGTAAGAAATTATGAGTTATTTAATAATAAATAAAAATAGTTATTCAATGGCATGACTGTTATATCATATGAATAGCAGAATAGTGGATAGCTGAATCATAGACTAGTGGAGTCAATAGAACAAGAAAACTCTAACCTGAATAAACTTAAAAACAAAATTCTGAACAGCTGAATAGTTAAACCGCAAAAAAAACTATATTTACGTATTTAGTATATCATTAATGCTTTATCTAAACTAGTTGTAATTTTAAAACGTACGTAATGAATTGAAAAATTCACTTGTTATCTTTCACGTTTTATTTCCTTGCAAAATATTGTGAATCGTTGTTTGTACTCAATGGAATCACGTTTTCGTGAACACATGAAAAAGCTTCAAGCTCGATGTATTTGTCAAGCCACAAAGTTTCGGGGTAACGACATATTTCTGGTTAAATCATCTCTGTTTTTACAAGTTTGTGGTTGTGTTGCAGCCTAGAGATAAGTATGGAAACCAATGGGCTGGACCGTACTATGGAGGACAGTATTACAATGGGTATGGATACATGGTACCGCAACCTCATGACCCGAGAATGTATGCTGCTGCACCTTACGGAGGATATTCGATGTACGGTGGTCATCAGCAACAAGTAAGCTGAGGAAGCTAAAAGCTTTTAATCTATAAGCATCTAGAGGCAAACAAAAACTCACTCAAGGTTAGGTGATGTTAGGAGGTGCAAGGCAAAAATGGCTTGCCTTCTTGTTTCTCCTTGGAATTAGGGTTTATCTTGTAGTGGAAAACGAATTTTGATGGAAACCTTAGCAGTAATTTAGGAGACTTGGATTTGATTGATTTATTGGATTGGTTTCTTGAGATGCTTTTCATTATGAAACTGATTGATTAAGGCTTTGAATGGGAAACGGAATTAATACTGCCAAAGTGTATCGACCGCATATACAAACACCATTCATCGTTAAATAAGAAAGTAGCACTAAACTGTGGCAGATCAAATAAATAATATTATTTAATTATCTTGAAACGCCTGCTGATCAAAAATGCAAAGGAAAATCTTGAACCACCTGCGTAAGAGTAAACTATAATAACTCATTGTTTTTGCATGTCAAATTTAATTATGAAAGAGTAAATAGTCGTAGGTATTTTCAATTCTCAGTAATTAGTTGTTGAATTTTAATTAACCATGCTCCTATTTTTCCTTAAACAAAAGCATACTCTTTTATAAATAGGGACACCTCCGAAATAAAACTATATCTTTATATTTAAAAATTATATTTTAAAAATCAATTAATTTAAAATAAGTTTAATTGTGCATCAAATAATAATTTTAAATTTTATACTCCCTCGTTTCAAAATATAAATTGTTTTAGAGGTTTTTTGTTTCAAAATATAAATTGTTTTAATAATCTTAAGTACTTTTTAACTTTATTGATATTGTGTGACCAATAGTATTATGCAATCCTTTTTTTCATTAGTTAAATTATTTTTATTATATAAATAAGATGATACTTTTTAGAAAAAAAAATATTTTTTAATATTCATAGGTTTAGCCAAAACAATTTATATTTTGAAACGGAAGAAGTATAAATTATAAATAGTATGTACAATGTTTTAGACTGCTTTTTATTCATTTTTACCATTTACACATATATTTTAGACTGCTAGATCTGTTTGATCCGCTTTTGTACCA